AAAAAGCGAAATTAAACCAATTAATTTTTAAAAGGAACAGAAATTAAACAGTGTCTTGAAAAATCTGAATGAATAAGGGAAATGGATGTTCCAGGATCGACAACGGCACGTCGATGCAGTGATACAACATTTTCATTTTCAACCGATATGATCAACAAAATCTCAGCATCGGATACCGTTGCCGATCATTACTCGGTCTTCTACACTCCCATTCATTCACCATTTCCAAATTTCTTCGCCGCGCTCTCGTTCTTTCCGCCAGTTTCACCAGGCATACTCTGTAAGTCAAAATTTATGAGCGAATTTACCACACGGCGAATTGCAGTGACTTGGACAATTTAGCACTAATTACTTTGTCACCCTCTTCTACAGTTTCGAAACTCACTAATTTTCAACTTTTTTCACTTGTTAGGTATCATGTTAATAATAATAAAAGCAATAATTTATGCCAAAGGAAGTCCAGTTTCCAGTTATAGCGCCCAGTTAAAATGAATGCAGCTTAACTGAGCCGAAACGTTTTAATCACAGCTAAATTATTTTTTCTTCATATAACCTGTGGGGTTAAATCTTCAGTATTTCCGGTATACCTCACTGTCAGCTATTATTTACCCACTAACAGTTTAAAATTAAGAACTTCGCATCCAATATTAGCATTAACGCATCCAAATGATAAGTATGAGGAGCACACTCAAAATTTTCAGCTTCGAACATGAAAATCAGGAGATGTTCTCCATGTTTTTAGCAATTATTTTTATTTTTTTATTAGAAGAATGTTGATTCTATAATAAAAAAGAATCGTTTGCCGGTAAAAGCATCTTTTCTGTTTGCCGAAGGTGCCCCTCCGCTCCGTTTCCCAGAAGCGTTTTCTTGCCACACCGCTGGCGGGTAACTCACGCCGGTAGTTTGTGTTGGTATGCTCAGAAGAGCACTAGAATGTAAGCAGTCAGCTGTTTATCCTTTCCGGCACTTTTTCATGTAGAACTGGTCCTCAACTTCTACGATTTCAAGTATATCCACGGGCTAAGATCAGTACACTTCACGTGGACTGCTTATGACAGGCAATCTTCACAGTCTCGGAAATGACTTCGGCTAGTCTG